CCACAAAATATTCATCATTTGAAGATGAACGTATTTAGAGGAGGTGAGTGCTAAAAATGATCAGGTTTTCATTCCCGAAAATTCGTTTTCTGTAGGATTGCAACCAGAATTGCGCAAAGAAGCCTGGAAATATCTTCTTGAATATAGGAAATGGGATGAAACTAATGCTCAGTTTGAAAAGGTCAGCGGTGTTCTTTACTCATATACCCGTATACCAAAGATGTTATGCTGTTGTACCAGTTATCTTGATTGTCTTATTGACAAAAATATGATTACTCTGCTTTAGAAACGAGCGAAACTTGCGAAGGAATATGAAAGGCTAAAGGCTCAGTGGATGTCCATAAGTGAAGATCAGGAGTCACGATTCTTCAGCTACAGCAAGCGAAAGGGCCTTGTAGGTTAGTGGTTTTTTTCAGAATCTTTTGTATGCAACATGGTGTGTTATAATCGGCAGTAGTTTTGAAGTCCGGAACTTTTACACTTCTGCGTTACTGTACTCAAGCTAGAAATAGATCTACCTATGCCTCATTTGGTCGCGTTTTTTCGTCCGAGGGTGACCCGGGAAACCATTATGACTCATGTTTCCAAAGATCACTTGATGAAATCAAATGTTGACATGTGTGATGTGCCGCACTTTTGCCTAAGCATATAGAAATCGACTTAGAAAGGTGAGGAGGTTTGACATGACGCTACATTTTATAGCGATGTCAACAGTGATAAGGTGTCTTGTGGCCTATTATCCATATTAAATGTTTCCGTGATGCAGTCAGGAGTCTTTGTATACACAGAATCTGCGTAAAAATTGTGGACATCTCAAACACCGGCGTATAAGTTTTACCAGTACGGCTACCAAACTTAGTGGTTCGCGTCTTTTCTATCAATAGGACAAAACTGATGGCTCAGCAATGACCTGATCTACGCGCAAACTAGGCCACAAGCCACCACTACTGGAATGCAGATTTGTCTACGGATGTCAGCTGGGAGTTGTAAAAGCTAAGGAAGGTGCAATATATGCACATCCCAAAATTTATACATATGTAACGAAATGACATACGCATTTGTGAACATTACGTTTATTGTAGTACCAAAAACACATTTCCAGAGAAAGATGTCGCTCGCACTGATCGATCCATGGACTTCTTTAGTGGAGATACAAATCCTAATCTTACAATGTTGCAAAATATGC